CATATCGGAAACCCAGTATCGTCCCCAAGTATATTTTGTCAGTGACGTGTTATGAAATCTTCTCTCATGAAGCTATTACATGGCAGTCTTAAACACGCTAAAAGACTTTGAACCCTTTGGCCCATTTCTTCGGTGCCCTCCATTGAATTAATCGAAATATCGTCAACTTAATCACACTGCATCCCACTTCTAACAACTCTCATCATGAAACCCCATGTATACACCCTGAGGGACGTGCTAGCTGTTGCAAAAATCCACCCATTCTATAATAAACACAAGGAGTATCCGCCTGTCGACAGTGATGCTCAAGCTGCCATACAGCGAGCGGCAGAAGCGATGACAGACGCAGCACTTCAGCGCTTTCCGCTACTCTGGAAGGAGAATCTGTAGGCTTCATAGCTCCGATATTATCGATCTCTTCAATGTCACAACACTGACGCTCGGCAGATATACCAGCATTGAGAGACTCGTGGATGATACCAGTCCCAAGAACACCTATCGTCACAGCATCTACGCAAGCATTACCGGAGGAGGAGGCACAGGAGGTGCAGGATCTAGACCCTTGTTCTTTGCAACCGACGCGGTAGAAAATCGTAGACAGAGGGCAACTTTCGGTCGCCTGTTGCGAGAAATAGGGGTGGTCAGCCCGGGCGAGTGGGTCTTGACAGTGCACAGCGCCGGTGAGCTGTATAGGTAGGCCGTGAACCACTCAGGTTATACGCGATAGTCGGTGTTGACATGTTTTCTACTAGGTCGTTGGACCTCGTGCTCGAAGTCCTAGAAAATGCCGGAGCCTCTGTACTCAGCGCAGGCAATTGGATGTCGGCGGCCGACGTGTCCACGTTGCTTACCAAGTACCACGTCAACGTATTGACGGGCGACAGCAGCCAGATCACTGAGATCGTGCACCACATATCCAGCCTTCCTTTCGAAAAGCGCGAGCTTATTAAACTGGACAAGATCATATACACGTCAGAAGTACTCACTCCAGCACAGCGGGGATACATAGCACGGGTCCTTGGCCAAGTCAAGATCTGCTCGATGTTCGCCAGTGCCGAATCTGGGCCCTGGGCAGCCAGTCATGCCGATCTGACGCAAGCAGGTACCCCTGAAGGTTCCGTCGACTTCATATTCGACACACGCACCTCGCTGGTTGAGATCTTCCCGCCCAATTGTACAGAGCGTGATGCCATATGCGACCCCTTACCTGACGGCGAGCGGGGAGTCGTTGTCCAGACATCTCTTACGCGCCTGAAGCATCCTCTTGTGCGCTACGTAACCGGCGATATCGGATCTCTCCATGACCTCCCCGATACAGTGCATGATCAGCTATCCGGAACTGACCGGCACTACCTCCGTGTCCTCCGTCTGACGGGCCGTGATCGCCGTTTTAGTTTCAGCTGGGACGGAGAGTATATCGACTTTGCAGCCCTTACGTCGTTGATGAGCGCGGAACCTGCCGTCCTCCAATGGCAAGTGATCCTCGGTAAGATAGCATTTTCCTTTTTCTCGGTATCATCGCTAGAAGTCCGGGTCTTCTGTGCCACGCGAGGGCAGGATGCTATGCCGACTCAACACGCTATCGCTGATCGTATCACTTCTTTTCTTCATGTCTATGATATGAACGCCCACAGATTTTCTCTCAAATTCGTTGAGAGCATGGATGGTTTTGAGCGAAGCGGCACGGGGCGCAAAGTCATGAAGTTCATTGATCGCTACAGTGAGCTGGAGCCATGCTCTCCTGTTGGTTCTTAAAAGGATAGCTCATCCAACATGGGCCCATCTGCTCAACATTACCTGCAAACGTCGAGCGTAGTAGTTCGAATAAGATTACGCTCTATATAAATGGTTACTATGATTACCTTGCAGAGTGTGCCTCTCGAGTCGAGTCCCGAGTTCCACTAAGCAGAAGAAGAGTGCAACAGCTGGATGCGACGTGGCTCCACGTCGATTTGAACGGATGCATGTTTTCACGCTCGGTGCTGATCAGTAGCTGTAGATTATGCAAGATTGAGGCTCAGTGAGCTCATCCATCTGAGACGTAAAGAAGCTGTTCACTTATTGATTTTACAGCAAGGTGAATTTCGTGTTGGCCTTGTTACACACTGCTACTATGATACGTGAAACTAATGCTGTTGATTCATATATCATGAAACCCAGAAATTCATGACAACAAACATGTCACAAGTGTTGAACCATAACATCTACAGATCAGGTAGAAAGGATGGTCCATCACATGCTGACAAATAGCGTTCATTCGGAGTGTACCACTCCTCCTGCGGGGTAGTTAGCTAGCTATCAGGTGCTACACAGGGGCCGTCTTATATTTGAACTTCCACTTGTATCTGCGATCAATTATTTGTTCGTCGTGAACTGTCTTAATACCTTCAAGCACAGGCAGTGACTCACTGTCATATTCATATTTGTGGCCCTGATACACTTGACTCATCACTCTCACTTTGCAAGACTTGATTCCCACATTGACGCACAGCTGTCAACTTGTTGAGCAAGATGGGGAACGATGGAAACGAGCCAGTTGAGCAGCTTCCACCGATGAAGCTGCCAGTCGGTGTCACGGAAGACTACATTGACTGCCGAGAATCATGCGGCCTCAATTGGCATGTGTTGCAGGCTGGAGAGCCAGGGAAGCCGATGGTGCTATTCTGCCAGTAAGTTGATCGGTGTTTACTATCCATCTAATATGCAAGCCTTCAGATGACAATCTGATCCTTACCAAGGAATGACGATTGCTGACTCCTATGGGCCAACAGTGGCTATCCAGAACTTGCGTACTCTTGGCGGAAGATCCTACCACGGGTCGCCGATGCTGGCTATTACTGTGTTGCTATGGACCAGAGGGGCTATGGTCGGACAACTGGACAGGGGCAACAGCAACAGTCATTCCACGATGTCGAGTTGCAAGACTATGTCTTTACTAACCTTGTCCGTGATTTGGTTTGCCTTGTATACGGTTTGGGATACGCGGAGGTCTTCAGCATCATCGGCCACGACTTCGGCGGCGTGAGCTCGGCCATGGCGGCTTTAATACGTCCAGACGTCTTCAAATCCACCATTCAGCTATCACACCCACATCACCCACCCCCGATGCCGCAGACGAAAGGAAAACCAGCAAATGCAAAGCTTGACATTCAGGCGGAGCTGGCCAGGCTGGAACCCCCACGCAAGCATTACAAGTGGTACAATTCAACACCCGAAGCAGCACCGGAATGGGATAACCCACCCCAGGGCCTAGAGAAGTTCTTGCGCGGATACTTCCACCTGAAGTCTGCAGACTGGGCCAAGAACGACCCCCATCCGCTCAAGGAGTGGAATGCCGCTGTAATGGCGGCGATGCCTGAATACTATGTCATGCGAAAAGAGGACTCCATGCCTGATAGCGTGGCACGCAACAGTACGCAAACAGAGGCCCCAAAGCAGGAGGCTATTTTCACAAGTGGCATGTACTGACCCTTGTATGCACTAGTGACTGGTGAAGACTACACCAAAACAGAGAAGTGGCTTTCAAAGGACGATCTTCAAGTGTATTGCGACGAGTGGAAACGAACGGGGTTCCAGGGCGCCTTGAATGTAAGTGATCTTAGAGTTATCATTCCCCTTCTGGCACGTCTCAGGGGCATGGGCGGCCCTAATGGGCATCTCTGTTCTCGAGAAAATCGCTATTTCCGAATCTTGGGCAACTCTTGGCTTCCATTGGCAGTCGCTGACCCCAGTGGCTATAGTGGTATCGCGCACAAACAGCGACAACGCCACAGTCGGCTCGCGACTTGCTGCTGTATGCTGGCAGGAGTATCGAAGTTCCGTGCGCATTTGTGAGCGGTAAACAGGACTGGGGCAACTATCAGCAGCCTGGCGCCCTCGAGAGCTATGAAGATGCGAAAACGGTCAAGGCAGGCTGCTTCAGGGGCGTCACACTGGTGGACGGTGCTGGTCACTGGGTGCAGCAAGAGCAACCCGAGGCTGTGTTGGAGGCGGTGCTATCCTTTTTCAATACATTGTAGGGTCTCGAAGAGATTGGCAAGCGATTGACTCTCCCTAGATCATATCTACTTGTGTTAGCTTAGGTAGCTCTGCAGGTATGCGATGAAAGTGCTCCGAGATGGGCAGACCACAGACCGCTTCTAAGCCCGCAGCTGTGGTTATCAGATAACTGAACAAACAGACCTTCGAGATATTACGAGAGGGTAGTGATAATATAATAGGTGGTGTTTGCTGCACTCACAGACGTCAGATGATGAACAGCTTTGGACACCAGCCGGCAGATAGACGCAGCCAAAAATGAACTCTGAAGAGATAAATATGATAGATGAATGATGATGACTGGAATTCGAAATCCTGCCCAACTACCCTTGGAGAGGCTTTCATGATGTAACCAGTCACAACATGCCTACCTACACTCAAGTATCTTGCCCCCATATCCCGAGCTTGAGTCCTGTAAAGAGCAGCAGTCTGAGATGCCTAGACTGGATATTGAGTCTAGCGGTGGTATATTTACCACCTGGGAAGTTGATGTAAACGTTTGGGCAAGTACTTCATCCTAGGTAAGTATATCGATACGTGTAGGAAGGTGCGTGTCTACCTACTGGTAGGTGACAGTAGGTGATTGCTTGTTAGCTCGGGTGAGTGCAGGTGAGACTCAAGTGTCTTTGCCACTCTACACGGTTGCCTGCTGCGTGGGGACCAGCATCGCCCCTGCCTTGGGCATAGTAACATAGTACCTACCCTACCTGTAGTGAATACACCTCGTCTGCAACGCGCCTACCCTATGGATCAGGTGTCACAGCTGCATCCACTGGGTAGCAAACACGGCTCCAGGGCTGGGCCTGCCGTGGGAAAGCCAGCCAACCAATCACTGCCCGGTTTTTGGTCTCCGGTCTCCGGTTGCCCTTCTGCTCCTGCCTCTCACACTTAAGTATCCTGTTCACACTTGAAGCAAACAACCAAGCAAGCTTCACAGCTATGCCGTAGCTGTTATCACAACCGCCGTACTAGAGAAATGGTAACTCGCTGGACTCCTAATCCAGAGATTCTCGGTTCGAGTCCGGGGTGCGGCACTCTCTTTCTTTTTCCTACTCTGCTTCCCAACCTCTGGTGATCCTCTCTCTTGTGCCTGCAGTCACACTCCTCTCACATGTTTATTGAAACGCTCTAATTGTTTAATATGTCCCCCTACATATGTAAATCTAATGCTTTATATTACATCAGCCTTTGCAAATACGGTTGTTAATGCCTAACAACATACACCTAATACATGTATGCCACCTCACCTACCCACCTTTTCAGCCAGAGAGGCCTTTCACTCTCTTATTGATAGAGCCCACTTGAAAAGTGCTCATGCTTTAGCTGATGCATAGCAACACTTCATGTTACAATCCTTCCGGCTCATGGGAGTCCTCCTACTCCTTTTGTCCATTATGCAGCTAGTGTCAGTATGGAATGTTGGAACACCTGCCATGAGCCAACCGACGCACATCATGGGACAAAGAGACAGCAACATTGTGTCAACCTCAGTTGCACACATTCAATTTGTCTCACTAATGAACACTGAATATGACGGTCGTTTCTTCTGAGAACAGGGAACATCGAGACTTCATTTTCTTTTTTCTCCAGTAAACAAATAAGTCTTTGACAGTAATGGAATATTATGGGATGGGGTTTGCAAGAATCTCCTATACTATTCCAATTATCGATCGTGATGGGTGGCTATGGAACTTAAAAGACTCCTAGATTATCACTCGGTCAAAGATAGCACCATTTGAGGTACTTCATAAGCCGCGATTTCCAACATCCTACCCTGGTGCCCTTTCCCAGTGCCATCACCTCAACACCTGCACACTCAACACTCACTGATACTTACTTACACATTCATCAAATACACTCCTCTCACCCTTAAAAATATGGAACTGACAGAGGTTTGGGTCATCTGCCTCCTGGGTGCTCTCGAGACTCTACACTTCTTACGTTTCTTACAACATGCCTGCACTACAATCACGAACCCAACTGCGACAACTATCTGGATGATATGGATTATCTGCACCGGATTGGCAGGAGCAGTTCTAACAAAAGAAGGACTCTGTATGTGGCCCTTCGGTAACTTTCTCCGTTCCACGTTCTAGCAGATTCAATCGGCATCAAGAGCAAAGCAGGAGGAAATTCATTGCTCAACACTAAGTGACAATTACTAACTCCCAAGATGAAAGTGGCGATGGCAGATCAGAACCCCGAAATGAAACTCGGCCTCCCCGTCGTGCTGGCAGTCTACATGGCACATTTCAGCATCATGCACAAGTACTTTACCGACAGTGCCTGCGTCCACATCTGCCGTTTCCTGGACAGGGCCATCACCTTCACCTGGATAGTAGCACAGCTCGAGTTCCGCTGGGGTCTCTGTACGGTGCTGATGCACTTCATCGCCTGTCCTAGCAGTTGTCCAATCTTCCAAGATCCCCTTGTTGACTCATGAGGTGCGCCGTCTCATAATGATGAGTTACATCTTCCACACCGCTTGCCTCTTTGTTCGCCGCTGCGTCTAGAGATCGATGAACACGTGTATGCTCTTGGCCACCCAAGCAGATGCGCAAGACAATTAAACAAAGGCTACTGCCATCACCCAAGTCAGTGCCTGAACTTGCTGATTGTTTTCCGCGGGAGCTACTTTATTGTCGCCACCTGGCTGTGTGGCAGCAGCTACTTGGGCCTGTATTTTCGGTAGGATCCGAAGGGAGGGGAGGGCGGAATGGATTGCTGCAGAGCACCCGTCGAATGGCTTCATCGAGGTCATGTCGTGTGATATGTGTCTATTACTTGCAGTTGATCGGCTGTTTTCCCTCCGTCAATCGGCTTTCGTTGCTCGGAGCATTGACTTATTAGTAATGCACTGAAATAATGTGTGCCATTGTACTGTGGCTGTTGCTTAATAGTGAAGAAGTATGATGTATCAAAGCGTACATTCAGTTGACTGACTATTAATTCTATTACTGCGTGAGCAGTAGTAAGAACCCCTTATATATGTACATGATAAGCCTGTGTTACGTGTAGTGACCCCTTGACCTAACGCCACTTCAACACCGCCATACTATTTGAAATTCACGAAACATTAATTGAAGATGGACGCAATAGTAATTGGTACACAAGCACCAGACGCCGAGCTTTTTGATGACCTAGCCAAGACCCCGTTTAGACCTTTTAAACCAATTCCTCCTAATATCAACATCATCCACAGCTCGTGAGAATAATACTTCGCGCGGGTTGAGCTCTCGTCCAGGAGACCCAGACGACTTCTTACGAGGTCTACCACGCTGTCTCGAATGGCGAGGGCACTGCTCGGCTCTGATACCCCACAGCTGCCCTCTAGCCTTCGTAGGATCGACAGATCTTTTAAGATTGTGAGTAGTAGAGCTCCAATTTCGAGAGAATTGACTTTTCATACCGGAGACTGCTTGACTGCGAAGCGTCTCGACCGGGAGATGTTCCAGGATCCCTCGGAGGATGTTTTACATGCAAACGAGCAGGAGGTCTCGCACGATTTGACATGTGCGTATGTGGTGTCGATGCCGATGAAGACGATGAGCTTTGACGACTAAGCTGTGGACTAGGAGTGACTCTCGACTGCACCCTGCCGCTTTGATAACGCCTTGGGCTAATGCCCTGCGCTGACATCCTCAAGCCCATTCGGTCGCGACTTTCAAATACTGGATTAGACCTTTGTCTTGAAAGTGATCTTTGTGAACTATTGGTGCTCGCTCGACCTGTCAAGAGTTGCCGGCTGCTAGAGCCCCCTATTGATGTTGTTAACCCCTGATCATCCACAGCGTCTTCAAAGGTTGGCTCAAGCAATACCGGTAAATCTTGGCCTTTATCAGGCATAGGCGGCGGCAAGCTGGAATGTTCATCATCACTCAAGGACTCGGTCCAGTCGGACGGACTCTTGACATCGTCGAAGAGCTGATCCTCACCGTGAACAGTCTCATTTTCCACGGGCAACGGCGAGGCCAAGTCTTTCCTTCTGGCGAGGCTTGAAATTGTATCTTGGCCTTGATCTGATGGGGCGATCGATCCGAACTGCGGCGAGCGTTCGGCCACCTTCCTTTCATCGAAGGAGACAGGACTATCGTGCAGGCGAATTTGGGGTGTTGGGAAGCCGCCTTGGGATGAGGCCTGCGACGCCTCCCCTAGAGCACGTAAACGTCTTAAAGAGTCCGAAGAATCTCTGCCTGATGGGTGGCTTTGTTTAAATGTATCCGGAGATACTGGCCACTGGGACCCAATCTGATCGTCTGTCTTTTGACCTTGTCCCCTTGGGCTTCGCTTTGTAGGTGTAGTTGGCAGCCTCGGGGACTGAAGTGTGTGGAGGGTATCATCTTCTGATTGTGTGTTAGAAGCAGCACAAACAAATTTCGAGCAATTGTTGAAATACCAACAGTGGTGTCTGGGTCATCTTTGGAGTGATGTGACGTATGGTATTTCCCTTGTTCCATCTCCAAGACTTTGGATTTCTCACCAGTTGGGTAAATTTCACCCATCTCACCGTTGTCTATCCCCTTAGCAAAAGGAATGCGAGTGTCGACGCTTTGTAGAGGGGCTGAAGGGCGTGGTTTCATTTCCAGATTCGAGCTCTTAGGCCTGTAGTCTTGGGCAGAGCTAGGCTGGGGCTTCAATTGACTCTGTTGGGAGAGAATTGGATCTGTTTTGCGTCTGGAGATGAGTGTCGATGAACATCCATTTGGCATGTCATTATGATCCTTAGGACGAGCATGTACTAGCGGATCAACTTCGGACAACAGTCCGTCATTTTCGAAAGAATCGTTCCCCTTTGTAAGAACAGTCTCAGATTCTGCAGCAGAATTCTCATCACTACCTCGTGTTGTTACACTCTCCATTTTCATGGGTGTACAGGTTGCTTCCTGCAGACCTGACTGCCCACGGTCGTCGGTTCTCAAAGCTTCGTTACCGTTCCCTGGCACAACATATCAGTGCCCGATCGCTACAAATACAACCCCCCAGTTCTCACCTACCGCCATCGTTGGGCCCCGCCCGCTTTGCCTCGTCTGAGCTAAGCTCTCCGACTTTTGGCTTGCCCTTTGAGTCATTAGACAAGTCGTCTCTTAGAGCCTCCGCAAGTGATATCGCCGAGTTCTTAACGAAATCCTCCGCTGCTAACGAAGGACTGTTGGACCATTGGGGGGAGGGCAGCTCACCGTCTTTCTTGGGCTCGGATGATTTCCCTGGCGAATCTGTGGCAGACGGTGGCCGAGAATCTGAGTGTGTGTTGTGCCTGCTCCTAGATTTGGAGCTCGATTTGGGACTCTCCAGGTCATATTTCTGGCTGTCGCTAGATTTCTTCGGAGTACTGTCGGATCCGTTCTTTCGACTCTTGTCAGACTTTTTCTTCGAAGCATGATCTGACTCATCCTTCTCGGTGTCATCGGACTCTTTCTTTTGCCTCTTGTCGGAATCATTCTTCCGACTGTCGTCGGACTTGTTCTTCGAAGCATGATGAGACTCTTCCTTTCCGGCGTCATCGGACTCCTTCTTTTGCCTCCTGTCGGAGTCTTTCTTCGGACTGTCGTGGGCCTTTTCTTTCTGATTGTCACCTGAGTCCTTTTTCTTTTCACTTTTATCAGACTTAGTCTTCTGATTATCGTCGGCATTCTTTTTGGAAGAATCATTGCGCTCGTCTTGGTGAGTGCCATTGGATTCCTTCTTTGGTTTGTCAACAGACCCGTTGCTCTGGGCACCTTTGGATCCGTTTTCCTGGCGATCATTGGATCCTTTCTTCTTAGCCTCTTCGGATTCAATCACTTTGGAGTCTTCGAAAATCTTGTACGGGTCGTCGGGGTTATTCTTCTGGCGGTCCCCAGGAGTCTTTTTCGTATCTTCTTTGTTTTTGTTTGGCTTGCTTTCAGATCCCTTCTGATTATTGTCATTGGATCCTTTTGAACTGTCATCGGGTGTTTTCTTAGCAGTATCACGAGACTCCTTCTGCTGGGTGTCATCGGATCCTTTTGGATTCTCATTGGGTGCTTTCTTAGCGGCATCGCGAGACTCCTTCTTC